TGCTCGTTGTTAGAAAGGCAGGAAAACCGGGATAGAGGGGTGGAGCAGGAGGGGGATCCCTTGGCTTCACCGTACCCTGGGTCCCAGGGCTGTGCTTGCAAGGTGCCGGACAGGGCTGGTCCCAGGGCACAGCCGGAGGGTGCTGCTGCCACCTGAGGGCTTGGCCTCCCTCCAGAGAGCTCCGTGCTTTTCTCCTCTTTAGTCCTTGTGGCTGCGGCTCCTGCAGAGGCAGCTTCGTGCTGACAAACCGCCCTCTTTGCACGACTTCCTGGCAGATCTTTTCCCCGTCTCTCGCACACTTGCTCCTCCCTTGGATTTCCCAGGAGCGTGCAGTGGGAGCGCACCGAGCAGCCGAGCTGGGGGCTCCGCTTGCAGGTTGGCAACCCCACCCAGCCCAGCCATCTCCTGGATTTATTGCGTCTCCTTGCATTATCTGCCTCATTCCTGTGTCTGAGAAGGGAGGATGTGCTGAGAGCCTTCACATGGCCGGCCGCACGAAACCACATCCTCGCTATCCCAAAGTTCAGAACATCTGTCTTAATTTGTCTGGCCCTCAGCGCTGCGCTCTCGCAGCCTCGCAGGATTTACTGCTTGTTTTTGCAATGAATCTCGCTCACCGAGAGCAGAGAGGGGAATTTGATGGTGTTAAAAAACATCGCTCTCTCTGCGGTTCTCAGGACATCTTGGACCGAATGCAGCCCTGCTGGTGTCAGAGCCTCAGACGAACGGAGGAGCCACTGGTGAGCCACTTAGTCCTCGTAATGCAGATGAGCTGAGAAGATTTGGAAACACTCAGCTCTTCAGATCCTTTGCTACCTCGAGAAATCCGAAGGGAAATACATGTGCTGCCAAAGTTGTTTCTATGGGTCATTCCCGAATTCCTACAGAAAATAGTATTTCTCAGAACAACACAGCAGAACTATTAAACTGTGCTGGTGGTCTGGTGACATTCTCTGAAGTACTGTCTTTCAGCCAAAGCAATATAGGTTTCCTAGAAGCACGTGCCCCTGGAGGGAGAAATCACGGGCTTTGAAGGTATCCAAGACAATACTCCAGATGCTGATTTCAGCTGTGCTGTCTTAACCCCCCTGTATTCCGTGAATTTACGTCAAAACGGATTTTTTTTTACTGATGTGAGCTCATTATTCCTTTATGACAAAGGATTCCTACGTACTCAGAGTAACTGGATGATGGCCAGCTCGCTCCCTCGGAGGTTTTCTTTCCAGAACTGCCGCAGGTTTGCTAGGGCAGGTCACCACGATCTGGATTCTTCCCATCTAATCTTGCACAATGAAAGCAAGTGACTTTAAGCTCAGGTTAAGAAGAGAAACAGTGGGGGGAGAGAGAAGGAGAGAGACTTGAGAAAGTTCACCTGCTTCTGAGCTGCTGGGCTTTTATCCCTCTCCATTTACTGAGAAATTCTGGTGGTAGTTCCTGAATCAACCTCTCTATGCACGCCCGTGGCACTGGATCTGAGCCTTCGTGTGCAGCGCGATGCTTCGAGGCACGCTGAGACCGGGGGTGCTCTGCCCCCAAACACCGAGCTGGAATGGCAGAGCAGGAACCACGAGGCTGCTGCGTGGTACGGAGATGTGTGCAGCCGAGCATCGTGCTGAAGGCGGCGGCTCACCCAGCACAGCCGTGGAAACCCCCTGAGTCATCTTGTGTCCTGTTGTTCGTCAGTGGAAGGAAATGAGCAGATACTGAGTGCGCAGACTGAGAATCGTGGATGCGTCCCAGCATATTTCAAGGGAAACATTCCTGTTCAGGCACTAGCGTGTGTTGTTCTCTGCTTTGGCCCAGCTCAGTCCCTAGGGAGGAGCTGCCGTGAGTCCTGCAGCGCGGGACCTGCCCAGCCCCGGGATCCCGTGGATGAGCTCTGTGCCTGGGTCAGAGCATCAGCTCCCTTGGCATCACCTGCTATCGCACCCTCGAGCAAAGGACGGAGGATGACGCCCATAGCAGAATTAGCTCAGCCCCAAACTGCCAGCGTTATGCTCAGAAAGAACCGGTCTCAGGGATCAGGCTGCCTGAGTCATTTCATAGCACTTCCACCAGTTTGACTCGTGTCCAACTGCTTTTATTTCCAGTTTATGTTTACGGAGAAGTGTCCATGTCTGAGCAACTAAATGTGTGGGGATTTTCTTTCAGAAGCCACAGAAGGGATTAAAAACAACAATAATCCATGAAATTACTTTGGAATTTTTTTCTCCTCGAATGTCCTGAGGAATTCCCCAGCTCCTGACCTGTTCCAATTGGCACCATCGTGCACTTGAGCTCTAATATCAGTGCAGTTTGTAACATTTCCAGGTTTTCTGGTGAGGGATTACATGAAACCAAAATAATTCTTTCCATGGGGGATTACATAGCCACTTTTGTTTCTAATAGTCCAGTCCACGAGTGAAGAACATTTTCTTGGGTACCTGTTTCTTCTTTGGCTATAAGAGCTGGTGTCATTTAGAATCTCTGGGCATAAATCCATTTCATTAATTTCATTCCTAATCATTTAGTTCCTAAAGGAACCCGATCAAATGCTCTGTCATAAGGCCAGTCCTTACATTTTGGCTGAATGCTCTTGGACAATTAAATTCACATAGATTACGTGATGCAGCGTTACCCATCTCACTGATAGGAATGCATCTGCCTGGTTAATTAGATAAAAACTCACCTGGAGGAACTGTGACCCACTGATGCAAATGACTCATATTTTAGGGGAAAATTGCTACTGATTTACAAGAGTCTGGATCAAATGTCTGTTCTCAAATGTTTATATATATATATATAAATGTATTTTTTTTCTATTCAAGTACCAAAGTGTGCTTCAGGGATTTTTTTGGCAGGGGTTTTAGAGCAGGAAAATAGGAAATGAACTGGAAAATTTGAAGACTACAGCAAACAAGAAAATCCTGGAAGGAACATACTCTATAGATCCACCCTAGCCATTAATAATATGGAAAGATTTCATTAGAAAAAGGAGACGGGAAGAGAGCAAGAAGAGTGTAAAAGGAGGCAGTGTTGGTATCAGTGTGCACAGGGTGTCCGCGCTGCTGCAGCCAGGCAGGGCTGCTGCAGTGCTGCACGGGCAACAGGCTCTGCATTACAAGCTGCACCTCTCCTAACGCCCATAAACCACGAGCTCTAACACGTGGCAAGTGGCTCCTGGAACAGTCACAGAGACCAATTTGCTGGGGACTGCGCGGGATGGAGGTGTGCAGGTGAGAAGCCTGCCTGAGTCAGTCATGTGCCAGCAGCGTTGGTGCTGAACTCGATCTGCCCCGGCTGCAGTGTGCAGCCTCCCCCTTAATCAAAACTTCTCCTTTTTTTTTTTTTTTTTTTTTTTTTAATGTGAAGAAGTCCAAGGGCTCACACAGTGACTGAGCTGTGTATGGAGAGTTTGTTCAGCCTGATATAGCCAAGGTTTGCCTGCTACAACAGCAGGAGGATCAGGCCAGGTGCCCTCAGTTTGGTTTTGTGATGCCCCCCAGCAGGTGCAGTGCAGGAGGCTGTGAGCATCACTGATGCTTCAACACAACCTAACGGGTCTGAGAGCTGTAGTTTAACTGTCCCTAAATGCTCACCTCTAGAGGGAACTCTGTAGAACTGATTTCACTCTGGTTGATGCTCTGAGGACAGACCACCACTGTGGCCACCCAAAAAAGCCATTTGTGGCGGTGTCCCCCTTTCTGGCCCACAGCCCCTGCATGCCCCTAGCCCACTGCCGAGCCGCTGACCCTCCAGCAGCACCCTCGTGCGGTCCCTGCTGGGACCAGAGCCGGTTCTCCGCACGGAGCCACGGGTGGGCAGGCTGCTGTGCCCGCGTTACAGCACAATGCTGTCTGCTCTGCTCTGGCAGGACCCAGGGAAATACACGGAGCCCACAGAATTGTTTTGTAAAAAGGAAATAAAGTTCTGTCCCCTCTCACCCCGCCGCGGCTCGTACCTGCCACCCCGTCACCGCCACCTCCCTCCCGTGTGCCCTCGAAAGGTTTGCCAGTAGCCACAAAGCATCCATTACAGCGAGCGCTTCTGTTTGCTGTAACCTATGAACAGTGTACTGAACTCAATATATTTTTGTCTGGAAAATTGTTTTGTTCTTCCCTGTAACACATTCTAGATGATTGTCTGTTCTTTCATGTCAGTTCTAGGCAAAGTGCACTGCATTAAAACTCCCACCACAGCAAAATAGAGCAAAGCAATTTAAAATCCCTGTTTTTGCCAAAAGTTTTTGCACTATTATGTCACATCCTATACATCAGCGTTTGCTGGGAAAGGCTTTTTTTTTTTCTTCTTTTTTTCTTTCGCACTGTTCTTGCTCCCTTCTTGAAATAGAAATATCAGCAGGTGAAATGACATTGAGTTGTGTTTTATGTATTTCCACAGTATGTAGGAGGAAGTTCACTCTTTATACTTATGAAACATACAGTTACTGCAAATAAAAGAATCTGAGCTTTGGAAATGTCACGAGTATTGAAAGAAGACCCTTCGGGTAGCCTGGCAGTGAACTCGGCTGGGGGATGAGCTCTGCCTGGTATGGGACACAGCCACCAGTGCTGCTCCTCTGGCCTTTTCCAAGTAACCACCAGCACACAAAGCGCACGGGGGCTTCTACACAATGAGCTTCACATGTCAGTGAACTATTGACCGCCCACCTAGAATTCATTAATTGCTTGCTCTTTCCACTAGGTGAGCTGAACTGCTTCAAGATGGGCGTTGTGTCTCCCTTTGTAGGAAGCCATCTTCTTAATCAGGATGCTTGGAAAACGTATTTATTGCAGCAGATTCATCTCATCCCTTTCAGTCACAGGTAAATCCACGCAGAGATGCACTACAGGTGCAGAGCTGCCATTTCAGCTGCAACGTGTGCTCGTTGCTCTCGCAGCAGAGGAGTGGCCCCATTGCTCTGTGCAGGGCTCCCCATGGCCAGCTGCAAGGAGGGTAAGGCCCAGCCCAAAACCTGATGAATTTAATGAAGCCCACCTAGCTCCACTCACCCTGATTGGAGTTCCTGTGGCAAATCAACTAATTCTATATAGGCAGGGCTGAACTACTTCCCAGAAGGGTCACTCTGCTGTTGGATTTGCTGTCTCTGGAGTCTTGCTGTTCAAGGCTTCAGCAAGGAGTTTTTGCCTTCTTTGAGGTCTGTATGCTCTTCATCTACTTTGAGGGAATCAGCTGAAAGCTCACTTGCAATTGTAAGGAAGAGAATGAAAGCCTTAACAACAAAATATGAGCTGTTTTTATATTCTTTCTTTATGCATCTGTTTTGCGTATGGATCAGTAAAGTCTGTGCTGAAAGTGCTGCTCACGGGTGGTGCACATCAGCTAAGGGCTGGGTGACCTGTGGTTCTAGCAGGAACCTTTGCAATGTTTGTAGCTTTCTTACTGTGTTTAAAAACAAAAAAGAGAAAAGCTTCCCAATGGACTTTTAGAGTCCCTACTCTGCTACAATACAGACTAGGCTGTAATGAGATTTAGAGGGGAAGCTCTTCTGCTGCAAGGAAAGAAACTGCTTTAGCCTGATAGGAAACGTCTCTTACAGGTTTGCTGGGCTCCTGTTACTGGTATGGGTGCCCAATTCCCATACAACAAGAGAAGTCTGTTCACTGCAATGGAAGAAGAAAACAGCAGATGTAGAGCCTGTAAGTAGGAGTTTCCTTTCTAGAAACTTTATACAAAGTAAAGGCTGAAAGCAAACAAAAAGCAGAAGCAAGCAGAACTTCAGAATTAAGATAAAGTGATTTGGAAAATGTGAATTACTGCAAGGGCCTGTGTTATCTGCCCTAATTAAAATGTTAATGCTTCTGGGGTGGGGCATGGTGTGTATTCAACAATCCTGAGTTATGGCTTTGGCCAGGTGGTTATGCTGATGGTATCTGTTTGAAACATGAAATGAGTATAATTGGTAATGGTTGCTGGGCTAATTAGTGAAAACACCTGTTTAAAACTGCAGCAGGGTCTCCTATGGTGCCACTGAACTGAGCCTGCTGTGATCCTAGTATTGCATATATGTTCAGAATAATTGCTGGGGACTTGTTGGTGTTCATCTGAGCTGGTTACTTTGGAGCTTGGGCACTTCTGGCTGCTGGCGGGATGTTGTGAGGCCTGGGGATTTCTGAACTGAGTCATTGCAGAAGGCCTTGAGGCTTGTCTCCAAAGGTGGAAGGTGTCAAAGCTGAGATCTTGGGCTCTGGTTGCTGTATGGTGATGGAGGCCCTGGCCGAGTGTCTCTCATCCCCTTCCCTGTGTAGCCTCTGGGTAATGTGCAGGAGAGAGCCGAGTAATGTGGTACTGTACACAGTGAAATGTGGGATTCCTTGATGGTCAATAGAGTGAACACTGAGGCTTTTTGTGATGCTAGAGGGCAACTGGCACCTGAGCCAAGGTCCTGGTACAGGGTGAAAGGAAAATGTTGTTATTATCTGGGTGAGAACAGCCAGGAACTGTCCTTTTCTCTCTGAGAGCACAGCCATGTTTGAACTACAAATTCATCTGCTTCTATTAAAGAAAAATACAGCTGCTTTCTTACTGCATTTATTGTTTAATTCATTCATGCTGCTTGTTGGAAACACCATCATTAAATTCCTTCTGGGGCATAGTTTGTTTTAAAGAAAACTCTCCATGGAAAAGGCTTTCCTTTAAATTTAGTACAAAAGAAAAGCCCAACTAGTTTTATTTATAGATTGGGGCATGAGAGACTTCCAGTTTTCAAACAAGCTCTGTATCTCTGTTTCTCACATAAAAAAAATGTTTAACATTTTTCTCATCCTTCCAAAATAAAATTCTTTTATTGTGATCTAATTTTCTTGGTTAAATGCTGCCACTTTGGTGACAAAAATGTTGGGTTTGCCTGTTGAATAGGATGTTCTGTGAGCTGGGGTTTTATTCTTGGATGATGTATTCTGGGTTTCAATTATTCTTTGATAGACCATCTCATGCTTCTGTGGGTTTGTGAAATGTTTGTGAAAGCTCGTATGTCTAAGAGCATTTCCCAGACTTGGACCCTAGGTGTGACAAATTTTTAGTGCATCACTAATACAGAAGCAACCAGAATTTCAGTGGGCAATATAAGCTTGTATGGAAAGTGAGAAATGTCTAGATGGTGAAGGGGTCAGAAATATGAATTTCTAATAACTTGGGAAATGGGAAAATGAACCTGAACTAATGCTAAGATTGTTTGCTTAATCAGGGAAAAAATACTAAAGAGCAGTTTGCTTGGAGAAGCAGCAGTGCCCAGGTGAATGACAACACTGAGGATGTAAATCCCATTTTCTATGATTTATATTAAGATGCAAAGCTTTAAATGGTTTTATTTAAAGATAGCTTTTCCTTTTTGGTAGAATTTAGGCTGTAATAAACAGGTCCAGCTGTAATAATTACAGGTTGAGGTGCAGCTGAGGTGATGGCAATGCAGAAATGTTGACCTGCTTTGTGGCCAGTGCTTTCATGAAGCTGAGCGTTGGTCTCAAAGTCAGCAGCAATTCTTCCCGACTTTAAGATGTCAGACACTGGTCACTTTTGCTGTTTTAATTTCACTGGTTTTACTTTTTCAGTTGTTCTTTATGCCCTTATTGTGCCCTGCCAGCCCAAATTTAGTGGTCAGTGTACTTGGGAATAAAATACTTCCCTGCTCAAATGGTTAATTTGGCTGAGCTTTATGACAAAGTAATTAAGACTCACATTCCATTGAAAATGTCAAATCCTTTTGTGATCTTTAATTGATTCTCACTCTGGGTTGCTTAAAAGTGGAGCTAAAAAGCTGTTGGGAACATTTCCTATAGAATTATTACTCATATGAGAGAGCCCTGTTCCCCCTTGTAATGCACCCAAATGGCTGAAACTGAGAGACTCCAGTTCCTCAGGATGTACATGCTAAACTCCAGTAATGCTCTTATTTGAGTCATTTAAAAGCATTGTATGGGTGATCTCACTCCATTATTTTTTAAAGAAACTTCAGTTCACTCTATTTAACTTTATACTTTAGAGAAATGAAACTATTTCCCCATCTCATTTATACCGAAGGAACAAAACTGCAGCTGAATGGTAGTCAAGCAGCTCGTGACACATCTGTTCCAGCGTACTGAAGCAATCTGGAGTGAAAATGAGACAGTCTTGAGGTACATATCAGGAACAGTATTACTGGTACTGTGGTGAGATGGTAGCTAATGGATGAGAAATGCAGAAGCTTTCCTCTAACAGCAGCATTGGGCAGGGCTGTTGTGAGGGCTCCAGGTTTTGCGAATGCCCTGGGTACCACCCCGTGCTGCCTGCAGGACCCGAGGGCAGGATGTTTGTGTTGCTGCTGGGCTATGCATTTGTTTTGCTGTGCTGGCTCTGCTGGCTGCTTGCTGTTTACATGGCAACTTCCAAGACTTGTTCTGAGAACTTGGAGCTCATTTAGAGCATCGTGCATAGAGGGTGTGAGTGATGTGCTGTAATACCATTTCACTCCTGTGCTCTTTCATTAGAGGCTCTTCCAGCCAGCGGAGTGAGCAGCTCATGTGCAGCAGATGAATGAAATGAGCTTCCAGAAGAAAGGCCTGCAGAAAGGTCCTGTTCTCCTGGATGTATTCAGGCTCACAGCGCGCTGTGCTGCTTTTGTATCAGAAACACCTTGTACGACTGAGGGAACTTTTTGTTGTGTTATTTCCTTCTGTTAGTGGTGACAGTCTAACAGGAGCTCCGCCTCCACTGGCAGGCTTACTCTGCTGACCAGCCAGGGCAAAGCAGTGCGTGGGACTCCCACAGGAGAAGGATGAAGGCAGGGGGCATTGTTACAAGGGGAAAATGAGAGTGGCCAGGATGCTTTCTGCCTTGGGAATGTTTAAACACTGCATTCAGGTCTTCAGTTTCGCAGCACTTGCCCTGTTGAACATCCTTCCCATGGCAGACCTCAGGAGCAGCTCTGCCTTTCTGCCAGGGCAGAATTTGGGTTCTGCTCCCTGTGATGTGCCTGACACAGGAGGGGATGTGGTACAAGGGAGAAGGGTAGGGCTGGCAGCAGGTGCCTGGTGCCAGGCAGTGGCTCTGGTCAGTTGTTTAGGAACACGGGCTCTGGGTGCACAGTACCTTGCTCATTTTCAAGCATCTCAAATTGTTCTTTTGCCTTTTTGTGTATAAAAATTATGTATGGTTGGAACCTGTCCTGAGAACAATACCTTTGATTTTCTGAGTTGCAGCTCATTAGTTGCAACCATTGCATTAAAAGTTTTTTTTTGATATTAAGAGGGTAACTAAATACTAACCTCATTGTGCAGATAGTGCTGGAGATGATTGATTTTTGAAGGTCTTGTTATTCAGGTACAGTTGTACTTGCAGGACTCTGCCAATGTGGACATTTTGTAGTGGTTCAATATGTGCCAAAACTGAAATCCCAGTGCCTGCAAAGTGAGGGGCTTGAATGTGCACCCCTTGCACATCCCAGATTACACAGCTGGTGTCTGGGGTGCTGTGCAGTGGCAGCTTAAGCTACTGAGCAGCAAGTTGCTTGCTGCTTTTTAATTATGAAGGTGGGGAAGAAATTGCCCTGCAGAACCTAGGAGCCTGCAGCATGTGGCCAGGTACGTGGCTTTGCTTGCAGTGTGCTGCTTGGGAGCTTCTGCTTGGAGACAAAGTGAAAGGTGCTTAATTTCTCCTTGAATGCAGCAAATGCTGCCAGCAAGCAGTGGTAAGCTTTTTCGGGGAAGTTTGATTGGAGGGGTTTTGGATCAATAGCATGAAAGTAAAGTTAATCTACCATGCCTTGGCTGGGTAATTTATGAGTTTGTTTCCTCCCTGAGTGTATTCCTCTAGAAAGACTATATTTTAGGTATCGAGTAAACACTACTATTCAGCAAGGTTTTCTTTTGACCCGGGTATTGAATTAATTTTTGCTTTTAATGCTGTACCAGTTGTAAAAGCTTTTCTCCTACACAGGATTTAAATCAGTGCTTTTGGTTTTTTGACAGGGAATAGTGAGTGTGTCTGGTGTTTTCCAAAATGTAGTGTTCCTGCCCCAAAGGTTCTGCTCCTTCCTCTGTTTTAACACAAGTCTTCACAGCAATAAACCCAATGGAATATGAGTCACTGTAGGAACAAGCATATGGGCAAGGTGGGCTACTGGCTTATAAATGGTACAATTGTAGATACAGAAGTGCAGAGGCTGCACTTGTTGGAAAGCTGGCTGGAAAATAGCAGTCATAAGGTACAGGGACATTTCTATATATTCATAGAAACCATTAAATATTTTGTATATTTTTGCATTTCATTTTCTAACAAATTTTTAAAAATGGAGCTTGAGTTTTTTTAAACTACTTGTCAATTAGCTTATTGCTAGCTGTGTGCGCCTTGCTGCTCCAGCAACAACAGTGCTGAACTCCTTTTGTCTGCTGCTGGATTGCCACAAGTTCTCACGTGGACAATTTCTGGAATAAAAACCAGAAAGGTTGAAGAGTCTGGTGGTCTTGGTTGTAGATCTTCAGTCTGCATTGATGGTGCATCAGCATTTGTTACCCCACCACTCCCATCACTGATTGAGATTTCAACCCACCCATAGCCCTTGGATTAAGAAGTATTTTATTCTTCCACCTGTAAAACAATACTGTTACCACAGAGAATGTGCATGTGTGATTGGAGAAGGATTTCTCTATCAATTACTTGAGCA